TTTTGTTCATCAATATTTTATCTTCTTACTAAGGTCCATGACTGAGTAGTATTTTTTGGGTTGCCCTTGATTTTGTCCACTTGGCACTTCTGGTTTGGTTGTCAGTTTCGTCTTGCCATAGTCCTTTAGATACTTGTAGTCCAGACTTACTCAGGTGTGGTTATCTCGAGTATCTCGATTTATAATTTTATCGAACCTAAAATGAGAATTTATTCTCTTTTTATTTATGAAAAAAGGCTAATTTAATTTTACTGTAAAGGCAGAAAAGAAAAATTATTTATTTTTTGAAAAGTCTAACTGAAGAGATCTAACTTGCTGCTTACTGAGCAAAATGAAACACTGAAGATTTCAGGCCAGTCCTTTTGCTCGTAAGCAAAAACCGGCGGCTGATTCAATCTTTAATTACTCAGGTTTCACGTGCTATTTGTTCTCCCTTTCTTATAAGGGAATTTTCAACTAGTTTTTATTTGATTTTTTCAAATCAAATATCTTTAACTTATTAGTCCTCTTTGATAAAAACCGCAGCCCTCAGTTTGTCTGATTAAAAATTCATATTGCTCTCTCTGATGCATCATATTGCAGGTGCATCTCTGCTTAATCAAAGCAAGGAGAATTTCAGTGCAGCCGGCAAGACTGCTAAATATTTATCCAGTTTGTTTCAAGTTAAGTTAAAAGGGACGTATTAATAATCGCCGCTCTTTTAAAATACTGAGCTTGAAAACTTGAGAAAAATTGGACAAGTATTCAAAAAGGAGTGGATTTTCAAAACAAGATTTTATAGTCCTAATAAGAGTAAATCAGTCAAAATCTGATTTAGTGAAAAGAGGCTTCAATATAAATGGCACGCTCCAATTTAGAATTGGGTCGTTAAGTAAACAATTAAGACAACGGTCTTTTGTCTGTGTAGTATTTTTCAATACTACAACATCAATATTTAGAAAAGTACAACATCTGAGGAAACATGAGTCATTCAATGAACAATTTTATGGACGAGATTGTTTGAGAATATGACCATACGGTAACTCTAAAAATGGAAAAATCTTACGTAAATCTGATTTAGCTATAAGACAGAAAAAACTCCCACGTCAAGAAGGCCTTTTAGCCCGAGAAAATAAAGACAATTGGCAAAATTCTACGCGACCAATGGCCCGAGAGTAACGTCAAGAAAAGTCGCATACAAAAGTTCCAGACCTAAACAAGCAGCCTGAATTAGACAGGCAAAAATTAAAGAGTTGAGTATCACTAGTCGAAAGGCTGTCATTTACAGTTCTTAGTAGACGCTCTTTTGAGAAAAAGTGGAGGAACACAAGGTTTTGCGTACCCCTGGACCCTGAGAAAACACAAACAAAACCTGCAGGTCGTTTACTAGACCCAAGAATTTCTGTTAACCTTCACGCCTCAATTGTTTCTCGATAGGAAAGATGAAATCCCGAAGTTGGAACAACCAATACCTAGTATTACTAGTCCTCCATCTCCAGCGATCACCTCAGCGTCAATTCTTCCAGCAGCGCTGAAAAACAAATCGCTTCCAAACCTACCTACAAAACAGCTTCAGTCCCTAACACTGACAATGCTGCAACCATCTCGCCGATCAGACAAGAAGAAAATTTTTGTGACGGATATTTTAATTTTAAATTTGACTGCTCAATTCCGCAACCATCAACTTTATAGACACGTATGGTACCTCTGAGTTATCAAGCCTTAGATAAACTCAAGTTAAAGGGCTTATCAACAAAAACTTTCTTTGAAAGCTACTAGAATGAGTTAAATCATGCTAAGTTTTGGCAATGATTTTCTACGGAATCATTAATGAAATAGCTCTGAAAGATCGCACGTTTAGCTACGCAAAAAACACACCGAGTTCTACAAAAATCATATCTGGAAAATAGAGATCACTATGCTACTACAGAAAACTAGATAGTTAGCAGTGGGACATAGCTTAGACCCGAGCTTAGATTAGAAACCCAACTACTGGAAAACAGGTTTGACAAAAAATGATTATCATACTAATGTCATGCAATATCAAACAACTTCTTACATCGAAAAAAAATAGGAAAAAACTAATTGAGTCAAATTTGCACCTAATGAAACCTCGAAATTAGAATTTTTGCTACGGCTTTCTGGTTTTAAATGAAATCACTTTTTTTGGTCCAGATCTTCCAAAAAATGCCCAGAAACATTCTTTTTGGCCTGTTATATGTTAAATTTGTCACCGCGTTTTGACTGCGACGCAAAAAATATTTGCCAAAATACTTGTTTTTAGCGAGAGCTTGAAATAAAAATTTTAAGGAGAGCTCCAAAATCATAGGATGAGCTTGAAAAATTAATCTGGCCGATCTAACTAATCTGGCCGGCAGTTTGGCCGGCAATTTTTCATCATCACATTAACAACATCGTTGTCTAGAGCACAATCGTGTTCATTTTTTGTAACGAATCTTTTAATTTCAGGCTCTTTCTATTTAAGCAAAAAAATAGAAGCGTTTTCATTTCAATCAGATTTAAAACACACGTGTGCACATTGCTTGCTTGCCAGATTTGAAACCTAGTGCAACCAATTGAAAAAAAAGCAGGGCTCTTTTCCAGTTTTTCTTTCCATTTCGAATATTTCAATTGGAGTAGAAAAAACACGAAGCAAAATCTGTATTTTAAACTTCTGTTTTAAGTCTTTTTTATCATAATTTTTATTACAAAAACTTTATGAAAAAAAAACAGTCAGTTTTCTGTAAGATAAAATTGGGTGACACGTCGTTTTTATCTATATTACAGTCTGCAGACATGAAAATAAAAAAAATTCGTGCTGAATTTTCAATTTATGCTAAGAAAAACGCTGTAACCAAGGGTTTTTCATATAAGAAAACCAATGGAAGTGGTAATTATCACGCAAATAATCGGTAATTAGTAGTTGATAAAGACTTAAGATTTTCACGCTAAAAAAAAATAAAAAACTTAACTTCTTCTATGGCTCAAAAAGTCTCTCTGAGAAAAATTCTGATTCGTAGAAAAATTCAGTGGCTGAAAAAATTTGCTAATTTTTTGACAGTTTTAGTTGTGTCTTAGCATATAAAACAAAAAATTTAACATTTCTTCATACAAAAAACGCGTGCTTAAAATATTTGGTTTTGTTGTCTGAAAACTTAGCTTGGTTTTATCAATTATTTGCAAAAAAACTTTCATTCGATTATTTATTTTGGCCTTGAAGCGTTTTTGCAATCAAAAAGAAAGAAACAAAACCTTTTTCTCAGTTTTCAAATATAGAATTGAACAATTTTTTTGACAAAGTTGCTCTAATATAACCAGTGGAGTGCGCAAAATTTTTCAAGGGAGGGGCTGTTTTTCGAAAACTTTTAAAAATTTTGCAGACCTTTTTTTTTTTTTTTAAATCGAACATCTTCATTTTTTGTGGCATATTTTAAAAAACTGGTTAAAAGGCGTTTTTAGGCACTTTTTGGAAAATGTTGACCAAAAATTGCTTTTTTTCGGAGCTTGCCAAAAAATGATTATCATACTAATGTCATACAATTTCAAACAACTTCTTAGATCGAAAAAGGGGTACGAAAAAAACAAAATGAGCCAAATTTGCACCTAATGATACCTCAAAATTAGAGGTTTTGCTACAGCTTTCTGGTTTTAAATAAAATCTCTTTTTTTTCGGTCCAGATCTTCCAAAAACTGCCCAGAAACATTCTTTTTGACCTGTTAAATTTTAAATTTGTCACCGCGTTTTGACTGCGGCGCAAAAAATATTTGCCAAAATACTTGTTTTTAGCGAGAGTTTCAAATACAAAGTTTAAGGAGAGCTCCAAAAATCATAGGAGGAGCTTGAAAAATTATTCTGGCCAATCTAATTATTCTGACCGGCACTTTTGACGGCAATGTTTCAGCATCATAATAATCACATCGTTATCTAGAGCACAATAGTTTTAATTTTTTGTAACTAATCTGTTAATTTTAGGCTCTTTCTATTAAAGCAAAAAATAGAAGCGTTTTGGTTAAAAGGGGGAGATTCTGGAAAAATTTAGCAACCAGAATTGAGGGCTGCATGTAACAAAAGCTGTCATAAGTTTCTGTTTTTCAATTTTAAATCAATTTAATATAACGCCGCTGTATATACGCTGTTGCATATTACAAAAACGGTCATACATTTTTGTTATTGTTCCGATTTTCGAAGAAAACGGAACATTTATGCTCGGTGTGGTTTTTCTTAATTCAGTCAATTTTCGTTGATCGAAATAATAGTTTTCGACACATTTTTTAAACCTCATTGAAGATATCGGCTTCTCGAGTTCAAATTTAAAAAGATATTTTACCTCCGATTACTTTTTTTTTAATTCTGGGGGTTTGAAAATTGCTAAACTTGCCAATTTCCGGACTAAATTATGCGCGCTTCGAAAAAATTATAAGAGTAACGCGAATTATTTATGCGTGGCGAACTATCCAACGCAACAAAATTGTTCCAAATTGAATTGAGGCCAGCTAATTGGTCGTATCCATTTCATACGACTCAAATTTTTACACTTTGATATTGGCCAAAATTTATAGGCTTTCAATGCTTTCTTTTCCAAAAACTATTCGATATGAATATGAGGGCGGTCGGAACATTCAAGGCTTTGCCCTGATATACGAGCAGCCTTGTTTCAGTTTTAAATCAATTTAGTATAATTTGAAAAACGACAAATAGTTTGAAAATACATTTTTTTCTATGGTTATCGTATGATAAGCATTTTTTTCCATTGATTGCACATCAAAGGGTTTTTTTCTTGTATGGTCATCAACCCGGAAACACGTTCTAAGCGGGCGAATTTCTTACTTGAGTCATATTGCTAAGTTGTTAGTCCTAGCAATTAAGTCTTAATTTTCGTTTGCCAAATATGATAATAATAAGCTTTAAAGTTCAAATTTCATAGGAACAACATTGAATTGAAAGACTCCTCAAATTTGATCAAATTTACTTGTACTAAAAATCAAGAGTTGACATATTTGAGTGAAGCCAACAGCTTATAAGTTTGAAACTCTGTAATCACAAATCAAATAAACTATATACATAAATTGATCTCCTAAACTTCTCCAGATAAGTTTTATTTTACTTTTGGTAGATAGCAGGGCTGCGGCTTCTTTAAGATAACTTAATTTGTAAAATTTCCATCAACAAGGCACTCCAAAAATGGTGAATGTTAATTTTTGGTTCACTCCAAGGTCAAGGTCTACTGCCCTGCTTAGATGTCTTTCAAACATCCCCGATTCCAAGATCATTTTTGAGAAGTTCACGTGGCTTTGTGTTTCCGAAGCCGCACCGGAAACCTTTGATCTTTTCGGCGTCGGGAATGACCCGACATTCACCTATGAGAACATTCTAGAAGAATGGAGAGCGGAGCCGAGTAAGTTTAAAATCCTCAAAGAACTCAATGTCGCTGTTAAAGACGAAACACTTCCTGAAATTGCCGACAAGGATTCGGTGAACATTTTCTTGGTTCGCAGTCCGGCTCTGACCGCGACTTCGAACATGCCGAGTGCTGATATTACGTATTATGACGTAATCAGTGAGTCAGAGGCCCTGGACATGCCGATGGTCTATCAGAAGATGTTGGATGCAATTGAGTTTGTCAAGAAGAACTGCGAAAAACCACCTCTTATATTGCCAGGTTAGTTTATATTGCGCAATTAAAATTTTTATTAATACTATGATGATTGATTTGATAACTTTTATTGTTGAATTTTCAATACGAATGCGGTAAATTAAGTTATAAATTTGTTTGGTCGTGAATGATGTAGCTTTCAACTGTATAAAATTTTGAAAGACGAGAAAAAAACAACTGTTTTTTTTTTACACTGATGGCTCTTTTAATTAAAATAACTTGAGGTCCCAGAAAAGAAGTTATTAATTTCTTTTTTTTTTAAAAAAACGACGGAATTTCAGGAAAGGCTCTCAGTACAAAAGAAGGTTCAGTAAAAGTCGTCAAGCAAATCTGCGAATTGATGGGCGCGGAGTTCTCAGAAGACATGCTTTCCTGGAAATCCTACGAGACGTTTGACCCCAGCTGGGACGTATCTTTCCTGTCCAGGGCAGCCGACATTCCTTTTGGCTTCTTCAGCCGGGCAAATCAATCCACTGGATTCGAAGACGGAAAAGAGCGGGAAGTTGATATGAAGAAAGTAGCGGAGGATAATCCTCAAATGGCAGCTGATATAGAGAAAACTGACCCAATCTATGAGCAAATAATGGAACACGCCGAGAAATTCGATTAATCATGGTCGCATATTGAACTAAGAATACTGAAACAATAAACAATCAGTTTTGTTGCTTTCGTTTTTAAACTCATGCCAAAGTGAGAAACTGGGATGTGTTGGGAATGTTGGGGAGCTTAATTTTCATTCAGTTTAATTTGCCAATAATTTCTAAAAGACCTCATTTTGGTACTGAATTTCATTTTCAAAGTTTATCTTGGAGACCAAAAAACCTTAAGTTTTAGCGAAGCATTGTAAGAAACACGCAATTTTTGGCCTGAAGGACGTTCGATGTTTTAGACACTTTTTGAGAGACTGAGTTAAAAGTAATTTTGTAACTTTTTCGCCTCTATATCTGTCTATATTGACATCAAAAATTTATTTAGAATAAATCTAATATCGGTCGTCTCAAAATGAATGTCGTTGAAAAGTACCTAGAAGGGCCCATTGGATTGCCAGGGGGTCCTTTGGGTCACTAAGGCCTCTTGAGTCGTCAGTGGGTCTAATTAAAGACTTAGGAAAAGAAATATAAAAAAAAATTTTGATATGATTATATTGTCGATGTTCAAGCAAATTTTTTTTCGCCAAAAATTAAATTTGACGTTAAAGTGCTGTCGGAACATTCAGGGCTTCGCCCTGATATACGACCAGTCTTGTTTTTCACAATGTAACTCCTACAAAAGTTAATCTCTATTTATAAACATATGAAAGTCTAGAAAAGAAATATAAATCAGATTGCAACCAGTTTGCAAGCTCAAGCAAAATTGCTAGATCCTCTTTTGTTTTGTCTGACATCAGTTTCAATGCAGACGTTTAGATTGTTAAAAACTGACCGGGATTTTCCCCCTAAGTTTCTATTCAAAAAAAGGAGCGAAAGGGACGTTTTTCTTAGAGTCATTTACTTGGTACGATTAATAAGTTGCAGCAGTCGAAAAAAGTGCACCAAGTTGGTCCCTATTTAAATTTAGGCTGTTTTACTTTTTGTCTTTTTTTGACTAAGTTAGTTTGTCAGGATACTACATATCATAACTTTGTAATCCTTATGAACGGAAGTAAGGCATCCCAAAATAGGTTCAAGAAACGAAGATATACTGCTAGTAAAATTAGTTAATCTTACAGATTTATTTTACGGCCTGACTCATTAGACAAAAACATCCTGTGTATTAGTGTCATTTGAGAAAAAACTGTATATTGGAAAAGGTAGCAAAAAACGGATCTAGGGGAATAGGTAATAGAAATTCCCCTCAAAGATTCGACCGTCGGACCACACTTAAAGGTTTGCTCTTTCATATTGCTTTTTGATATTGGAACCTGATCTAAACTACATTTTATGATTGGATAAATTAGATATTTTACCACTGTAAAGTATTTAATATTAACCAATCATGATCCATACAACTAACAACCCACTTATTTGTAAGTGCTGGAATTACTTGTAATTTCAGCACCAGAGAGATTTGAATTTAACTTAGAAATTAGTTGACTCTCCAAGAAGACTTCAGCAACCGCAATAAACCAGTATACCCTAGATCTATTGAGCCTAGCAGAGACTAGTTAAACAACCTGAAACTAGATAGTATAAGAGTAAGATTAGGATCGGTATTAGACTAAGAAGTTGCACGAATCTATCCGGCCGAAAATAAGATAGCGTGACGAGCAGACGGTGTACCCTATCCGAAATTACTCTATGAGTTATACCCATCGGTCTTAACTCATCTGGTGCGACCATAAGTCTCGAACAAGACCTTAATAGCTTAGAATTAACCAATAATAGATTAGAATTTAGACAAAACATTTACAAAATGTTATACGACAATAATTTAATCGAAATGTCTCTACGACTCAATAGATCAGAGCCAATATTCCGAACGATAACAGAACTACCCGGAATTGGAAGAAGACCTCGAACCAGAGACGACATACGACAAAGCAGAAACTTACCATATAGTTATATGATAGTTCGGCAAAAGCCAGAACAAACTTTTGTATTTAGAATACTACTAGCAATGAATTTAGATTTTCATTTGCAAACATAAAATTTTGAAGTCAATCTTCAAAATCATTTCAGGCGCTAAACAAAATTATTAATATACAATAACGATTGATAAAAAGATCTCAGATCGTTTTCCTAAATTCTGCAGTAATATACAAAACATGTTTGAAAAATATTTATTGAAAAATCAAAATAAAAATTAGTAGCATGACAATAAATGGTTAGTAATTATAAATCATCCTGTTGTTCCAGCTTCATCACCTAAACATAACAGCATTCATAAGCTCACTAATATCATAAAAACACTAAATCTTTTCTTTACACAAATTTAAATCATTTTAAACTTAAATTCACTTAATATTAAAATCAGATCATCAAGGCTTATCCTTGGATCTTAAATCATTTTCTATTTAATTAAATTTAAAACTTGATCATCAAGGCCTATCCTTGGATCAAAAAGAACAACTTTGTTCTCCCCCACCCACTTAACTAGTGTCTAACGACCTCAAACGTCGATTCACTATCCAACCCTTTCTAAAAACCCAGGACTAATAGAAATTTTTGAACAAAACTAATCATTCAAATTAGGATAAACAGTGAAGAACTTCGGTTATTCATCCTTCACTTGATCCCCCCTCTTACCAGACCCAGGATAAATCTTAGACTTAGTAAGTTTAAAATAGTATCTAACGAACTACTCGCGTTCTAATTATACCTGAACCTTGTGGATCGATTTACTATTCTCCAACCCTGAACACAATCACTACCCTTAAGTAAGATTAAGTAAGTTAACACCTTAGCTTATACTAGCCACGAGAAAGTATAAAATCATTCTTCGGAATTGATATACTTTTCTCCCCAACCCTGAACAAATAGACCCAGGTTAGGCTAACAAAAAAAATCGTAAGGACTAACAGTTTAAGCAAATAGAAATCATTTAACAACCTTTTGCACCCGTCATCCTAAACCTTATGTCATTTAAAAACCTAGGAAATAAACAAACAATCGTTTTACACAATTGTGAAATAGATAACAAAAAATACGACCTTGTAATCACACCTCATACACAAACAGTTGGATACATTAGAACAAAACGACAAACATTAAAGAGAAAAATAATAACTAAACAAAGACAAATAACACGAAAAAGATTTTCAAAAAATCGAAACGCATTTTCAGAATCAAAAGCCAACAGTTTAGACGAACTTTATAAACTAAAAGAATCAATAGATAAAAATTGCCCAATTCACCATCAATTATATTTCTCTGACTCAGAAACAACTTCAAATTCATCAAAAAGAGGAAAAAGAAGAATAAAAAAAGCAGTATAAACACAAACCAGTACATTTATACAATTGGAATCAACCAATTAGACACATTGATAATTACATATTAACAGTCATCGAACAAAAAAATGAGCTCAACGCACACCCCAGGTGAAGAAAGTCCAGATGATGATGATATCTTCCCCTTTATCGTAGATGCAACCACTGATAGAGGACAGCATATATTTTGCAAAAATTTACTCTTAAATTTGTTTGAACCCGGAATCAGTCCATGTAAAACAGAGTTCCCAGATGTAAAAATCAAAAGACAAATTATCGATCACTATCTAAAAGATATATGTAACCTAACACAACAATACGGAATCTACTCCATAGAATTCAACTCACCAAATCAGAATCACAATAAATATATAATTCAAACAGACGACCTTGATTTAGAATTTTCAAAAGTATTCTCAGAATATATAAAAAGCATCCAATATCATAACTCACAAAGAGCAAACTCCATATTCTCCAATGAAGTTTTTGCGATAATATATAGTTATATATCGATATTAGAAAACGAAATCCAGATACCAAATGTGTCACCGACAGAAACATCTAAACATATAAGAGTACGACATGAAATCACACTACTCTCTAGTTTTCTAAATATAATTAAAGAAAATTTCACGAAAGATGAAGTTTCCCAACATACAAAACACGACTTACAAAAAATTTTGGCATGGTTCATAATAGATTATTTCACACATAATATTGATTTAATTTCACAAGCAAGAAAAAATTTTAGACCCCAAAACTCAAACGATGATACTGCCATCACAGAACAATCAGACTATGTTTGGGACCCCGAATGGTCTCATCCCGCATTCATAAACTTCCCACAATCAATCTCAAGTCAAGCAATAAGTACGATATCTTATGTAAGAGATTATGTAAGAGTAATACCATTAACCATTGATGCAACACCATTAAACTATAATACATTTTTACCGATATGCAAAATAATAGTTTAAACTCTACAGTCATACACAATGAAAACCTCAATGGAACTAGGAATCTTACTCAACAAGATATCCAGACACCATCACACTTCATAAATGAAGAAATCGTACACACAACAACTACACAACAAAGTATTTCACCAATACGTCCCAACTTAACAACACCAAGAAATACAAACCCTTCACAAACACAGGTAACCTTACAATCAACCGTTAAACCTTCGGTTGCCCCAAAATATTCACACATGGATTTCCAAACATACAGACCCATGACAATACCGCCAAAAACACGCAAAACGTTCACTAGAAACAATTTTGCAGACCATAATTATAATTACACACACCCATCAAAAACAAATTATCAACCACGAAAAAATTTTAGTAATAATACAAGATCTCGAAACTGGGATAACTCAATGGCACCACCTAATTCAGTAAATTTCCAAACAAATTTACATCCTCCACTGGATCGTAGTGAAAACTATCCATTTTTTCAACAAAATAAAAATAAAAAACAAACATCTTATCAAATGGATTACTTATCCTCAGATGATGATTTCTTACAACCAGATATATTTGCACCCTATAATCAAGAATATCGTGGACAAGGAATACAGAAACCACATACATATCATAGAATTTTTTCTCCACAACCAATAGATACACAAAATCAACAACCAATTCAGCAACAAAACCCAATTAATACACAATCTTTTCAACCAATTCAGCAACAAAACCCAATGATTGCAAACTCGTACCAACCAACACAAATGCAAAATGAAATACCACTCCC